AATTGTATTAAAATCTTTTAAATAAAACAAAAAAAAACTAATAGTTTTTACACTGACACTGACAACTTACCATAGATCAACTTATGCTTAAAATATGGTTTAAAAAATAATTTAAAAAAACCCGACTACGTAGTAAATTTTACTGATTTTTTTAAAATCTTATGCCACTTCAACAACTAAGACGAATCTAACGATACCCCATAGTATGTAAAAATTCTTTAAGCGTTTTAAGTGTAGACAACGCATCTGCATTTTGATTCGCATACGAGGATAGATGTAGATGTCTATGGGTCACAGCAACCTCTTACCATCAGACTGTGTGCTCGCTTGTCACCCTTAACCTATAAAAAAATATCCCAAAAAAATAGATAATCTACATACCTACACACACCCGAAAAACATTAAATTCCTTGAGTAAACGCGTGTATAATATAATACATTAATCATTTACAACAAAAATTTCCGGGAGTTATTAAAATAACCGAACTTTACACCTATTGTATAGGTACCCCTTAAAGCATAGGGTCATCGGGCGGGCCAGTACAACGCATTGTTTGGACCGGATATTATTATTTTAACATCATGCGTGTCTGCGCGTCTGTCTGCCCTTTACAATGGTATGCAGTAATAATGACATTTTTAACACCCTACATTTAAATGCATTTTATATTTTAAATCAAGTACATATGAGTGATATTGCAGAAAAAATTGATTTTATACGTGGTAGAGCCATGCTGCAGCTATATTATTAGTATAGTTGTAGCACGAATGGTTCGGCTCGACCGGGGAAGGACCACGCTCTCACAGAATACCAGCGTAAAATGGCAGCTTGACACTGCTGTGTTTCGTATGGTGAGTGTAAAAAACCGGAGACCCATTTTACTGGAAAAGAGGCATTCTGTCTTATTCCTCACGGCTGATAACGCATCTGCATTATAATTCGCAAAACGAAGATAGATGTAGATGTCTTTGGGCCACAGAAACCATTAGGTGGTAAGCCATCAGGTGGACTGTGTGCTCGTTTGTCACCCTTATTCTATAAAAAAAAGTTATTTCACTAGGTGTTGGACTCTTATTCTGCCTAAGAATCCGTCTGGATAAGTACCATTCTCTTACCAGTTTCTGGCATTCCATCTTAGTCCTCACGGGTGACGACGCATCTGCATTTTGATTCTTTATTGAGGATAGATGTAGAGATGTAGATGTCTATAGGTCACAGCAACCACTTACCATCAGGTGAACTGTGCGCTCGTTTATCACCCTATCCTATAAAAAACAATCTATCATACATCTAGCTGCAATTTTTTGTAGGATAAAGGTGACGAGCGAGCGTACAGTCATCTAATGGTTGCAGTGGCCCATAGACATTTACATCCATAATCAATCAAGAATTAAAAAGCAGATGCTTCTGAGAACTGAGATAGATGTCAAATTTTTATTAAAAAGGGTCTGTGATTCTCTATTCTTACCATGTGAAACACAGCATCATTAATCTTCTACTTTACGCTGGCATTATTTGAGAGCGTGGTATCAATGATGATAAGCACGAAATCGCAGGTTGAGACACGATATGCTGCACAAATATATTTCCAGGACATTTATGGACAGAAAATGAAGTGTGTAGATTTTTCCATTCTTTCTTTCTTGGTAGCTTTTGTTTTGAAAAGCTCCAAGGTATATAAAAAATTAGATACCTAGCGATGATTTATTAATAAATAAAAGTAATATTAAGTAACAAAATATTTCTATAATCTTTAATTTATTGATTTCTTTAACTCGTTTTAAATAAAACCTAGAGATAAAATGAAGAAAACTTCAGAAAAGCGGCAGGAGAGACATCTAGTTTTTGAAAGCAAAAAGAAAATTGTACATTGTAATAAAATAACGTGCTAACAGAATTCTACATTATGCTTACATACATTATGATTACTTAATTCTATTATTACATGGAAATTATTTATCACCAGAATGTGAGTTAATTGTGTTATCAATAAATAATGTTTATAAAATAGAAAAATAAAAATACTATATTGAAGTTAGGGCTCTCAAATTGTGTAAAGAATTATAATTTATTTTAATATTCATTTAATGTAATTGTTCAAATTTTTACAAGCTTAAATGGTTGTTATATAATCCCGTATGAAACAATTTCTCTCGCATCTTAGACTTAGACTAACAGCAAAGCATTTAGATATGAACCCAAAGATAGTTTTGTTTTTCTCTGATGAACCTTGCCGGAAAATAATTAACCAGAAAAAGTTAAAATTACTTTGTGTATAGTCAATAATAATTTATATTGTAATACTTTTTGATATCTTCTTTATTATTACTATATTAAAATAAAAATATAAAAACTGGTTTGAGTACATAAAAATTTTCATAACCTGAATTTGTAATAATATACTCGTATTTATAAACTATCTTAGTTCGTTCATAAGTTAATATATATATATAACAACTGTTTATATTTTGCTATCTTCGTAGATCTAAGTAAAGTAATGCAAATTATACAGTATTTTCACATATTCTCATGGTGTTTATTTATAAGCGCCCCCGTGCAACTAGCATCGACAAACACGTGGTCACAGACCGTAAAAAAAATTCCTAGTCACTCCCACGTCGTTAGACCACGCCTGTTCATTATTGTACCTAACAATTGTCTTAGCGTTTAACTTGCGATTTTAGATAATGACTTGAGCATGTCGCTCCATGCCATTTCGGACCTAATTACATACGTTATTGTTAGTGGAACTGGTTTATTTTTCTATACTCTGGATAATGAGATATATCTAATTAATTAAAATATTCCCGAACTAAGTCAATTATAAAACGGACGAGTGCGACGATTCATGTAGGTATCGTATGGTGCCTTTGTATGTCATTATTTAACAAAAGTAAGTTATAACTAACAACCAATTCAAACCAAACAAAATTTTTCTACGTGGTAGAGCCATGCTGCAGCTATATTATGGTTGTAGCACGAATGGGTCGGCTCGACCGGGGAAGGACCACGCTCTCACAGAAAACCAGCGTAAAATAGCAGCTTAACGCTGTTGTGTTTCGTATGGTGAGTGTAGAGAACCGGAGAAAAAAAAACAATTCAAACCTTAAAATATTTTGGTTTGACGATTTGTATACATTATCGTGGTTATAAAAAAAGATTTTACCATATTCTTAGTAAAAATCAGTAACAATATAAAACTCTAAACGTAAATTTAATTACTTTGTAAACCATTTAACTTTTTAATAAATAGGAACATATTAACAACATAAATAAAACAATGGTTACAATCAAATATTTATTATTTTCTTAGTAATGTTCTGTTTTTAAAATCTTAATGTACCGTAGACAGCTTTCGTAGCGCGCTACGCCATCTGCCGTGGGGTAGCGATAGGGTTAAATCATACGAAGAGGGCGACATACGGAATGAAACTTCTTGAAAGTTTAGATATGAACCACAATGAATTCCGGATCCTTAAATTACTAAGTTGCCAAAGAAATATGAAAATATAATAAGCTTTAGCAAATTTAATAAAAATAACGTAATCAGTTTTCTTTTATCAGTATTATATTCTTTTTATAGAAACATCCCCAGAGAATGTTTGCATACATAGGGATTTTAAGATAACATGGAATTTATCATATCTCAAGTTTAGGTAAAAAAAGAAAAATGGGTATTCAAAAGGCCGTTGGCTAAACCCCATAAGTTAAGCCCCGCCTGAGCATGCAAAAAAATTCAATAGTAAAGAGGCGTTACGGAAGTATTTAAAAAGTCACCCTGAAACAGCTTTATACGAATCCCCCAAGTGCGAGCAAGACCGCTGACATTAAGAAAAAATTGTAAAGAAAGGCAATTCTTTTTCATTTCCTCCCTCACTAATAGGGGCTTAGAAAAAAATCGGGCGCTCTACTCGTCCTTGTCTAACGCATAGGGGTGGGAAGCGATCGGGGTCGGCCGAGCGAGAGGCGAAACCCTTCGCGCCCTTTTTAATAGTTCTTATTTCGGCTGTGGTCCGAGCGGTCCGTCAGGCGATTTTGGGGAAAGTCGTGCGAGTGGCGTGCGGCGCGGGGCATCGCATGGACGATCGCCGGCTGACCGGCGGCCAGTCCGTCTTTTCCTTGACCGCTCGCATTTTTCCGCGGAAAAAACGCGGGGCGCACGCGCCCGGCGCCGGTGGGGATGTTCTTGACGACGTCTAAGGCGGCGGGGGCGGCGCCGCGTCTTGCTAGTTGGAGCGGCGTCTTCGCCTGGCGCGCGCGTTCGCCCCACCCCGCAAGAAAGCGTCGCGACGCGCAAGTTTTCCACCAAGAAGTTAGTCGTCGCCCGCCCGCGTCTCAAGGAGGTCTCGCTTCCGCTTTTCCATCTCGGCCGCGTAAATAAACCAAACCTGACGTGTGTTTAAAGAGTATCCTCCCTTGCAGATCCGGCGCGGAAGGACCGGAAAAACAACGCGACACATCGCATGTGCTCCTTGTGACGATACGCCCGAAACTGGAATTAATGTTGAAATACTTCAATGAGAACATATCCCTAGCGCTCCAGGAGAGGTACAGGGACCTCCATGATTTTCGGAAGACGGAACCGGTAGAGGAAGGCTCACCGAGGGAGGCGAAAGTACCAAAAATAGCGGAGGAGGGCGAAGCGGTCGGCGGCGAAGGCGCGTACGAGCCGAGCGCCGCGCCGCCGTTCCCGAGGCTCCTGGAGGCGCCCAAGGAGGAAGACAACTTTGTAGCAAGTTGGCTGCAAAATTCCTTTAAAATGACGGCAGCTGAAGGCAACGAAGCTTCAGCTGGAGGTAGTGCTCTAGACCTTCGTGCTGCTCCGCTGTCACTCCACATACCAGCACTGCAAGCAGAGGCACAACGTCAGTTCAAGATGCAGGACTTTTGGAACAGGAGTCGCCCTGTTACACCTGCCCAGGAACACGCTGAAGCACATAATGTGCCTGGTCCGGCTCCGCCAACACCACAACCACCAGTTACTCCGGACCATAAGATCATGGCTGAGAAGTTGGTTAGCGAAATTCAGGTGAGTCCTTTCAAATAATAACTGTAATTGTTTTTTTAAGGTTTTCTTTAGGATGTCAAAATGTTTTTCTAAAATATTTTTAATATATTGTTATATCTAAAATTTGAATTATCCGGTCAAATTTGAAATGTAATTATTACTGTCAAAAATCTATGCAACGTATCTTTTTTATTCGCATTATATCTCAGTAGTGTGATGAGATGTTTTTCCGACGGAAATACTTTCGATAAAACATTAGGTAACCTACTAAAAAAAACTTACCGCGTAATTTTCAGAAAGTGTGAAAAATCTAGCTCCCAATTTTTTTTATTATATTGGAATAATTTAGTTGTTGTAATTATAGTAACATAAATTTCTATCACTCAGTAAATCACTATAATTTTATTTTCACTTATTTTATAATTTTGATTGCTAATATAAAAAATATTAGGAAGTTCAACGTGTGTCTACTCCGGATCATGTAAATCGACTGACCCCCTTAAGGTCTTACTAAACTCGTTCCAAACACCGAATGATCCCTTCTTCCTTAAAAAAGATACAAGAAGCAAGACAACATATTGTGTACCTTTTGTTAACCAAAGAAAGGGTTAAGGGCCTCGCGTTGAACTTATTATTAAATCGTTTTTGTCCTTACTTCGCATCCGGTTTTACAAAGGATATGTAAATTACGATAATCAATGATAATTCTATTATTTCGGTATTAGCTTATGATCAACTTGTCGACAGTGTTTTTATTTTTTATTATTGGTTTTAATATTTGTTTTGACCATATGGCCTATGATTGCGGACGTCACTAAATATATTTTTTACCTCTTCTCCGTCAAATCTTTTTATTGATATCGTGTTACTAATCGAACCGTGGATTACGCACATTAATAATCATATTTAGAAATCACAGTAGAAATAATGAAACATTTTTTTTTATAATACTCCAATTTTTGATTCTACTGACATAAACACAAACATGTTCATATTTTCAGTAAAACGCAATTTTATCTCGTTTTTATTCACTCGCTTTCTATATTATATATCTGTTTTGAGTCGAATTTAGTAATTGATTTTAAACTAAAATCCCGATGAACCAGAGACTTCATTTTTTGAACATTGATTCGGATGACAATCTACGTAGAAAAAAACGTGTTGTGAAATGAAAAGGAATGTTGTTTGAATATCAAATTATTTATGCTATAATCGTATTATATAAAATATGTACACTAAAAATTAAAATTACACATTTTTAGTTTTGACTTTTGCAGTAAATCTTAAACCTTTCGAAATCGAAACCTTTATAAAAACATTAAATTTAATTAGTTTCGCGAAAATACAAAAACATATTATTTAAATTAAAATAAAATTACTATTATTAAGTACCTATAATTATTTTTTTGTATTTTGTGGTCATCATTTTATAAATATTAACACCAAAACAATCTAATCACGGATACAGTATTCGATATTACAAAACAAATAAAAGCAAAGACATTTTTTAATTTCGTCGTATAGCTGAAAGACGAAAGAATATTACTTTTTAAATTAGTTTCGGATTCGCTCACCTTACATTTGTCTTTTCCCACGGAATGGATTAGGGTTTCATTGTGATTTAATTTTTTTTTATTTTTACCACGCTTTGTTTCACGGAAGGGGTGTTGACAGTTATTTGTTGCGAATCTGTTCTCATTCTTTTTTTTTGTTTTAAAATTACGTTTAAACAGTAACCGGTTTTGATATCCTGTTTTGCATTCATCGTTTTTTTATCCGCAAATAAGGGTTTAACGGTTTGACAATTTGAAGTACCTACGCTATTGTGGTCGGGACATTTTCTAAAGATGGTTAATTAAAAATTGATTTATTAATTCCTTTCCATAGCGTTATCGTTTCGTTGCCTGTTATAACATGATTTTTTTCATCTTATTTTATATCAAAAAATTAACCGTTCAAGAAATCCAAATGTGTCATGTCCACATCCCATAAAGTTATGGTGTTAAATGTATGTCTATATATGTTAAATGTATATGTATTAAGTCATAATTTGTTGATATTATATATACATATATAGGTCATAAGAAGTACATAATTCCATCCCACATCAGTCGTTCACAGCTGGTCAGTTAGTTACCTAATATAAATAGAATTTTATAGCATTTTCGTGTAGTAGGAGCGTAAGGAAACCACATATTAATGCTCTTTATTTTGTGACACTACCCAATATCCCGTGTGTGTCGTAGAAGGCAACAGAGGGCTTTCTAACTTTTGTTAACTCTATAACAAACACTGCGATTTTCAACTTGCCTACTAAGCGTGGCAGCTATGGCAAATATAGTGCAAGCTATGTTTAGCAGGAGACTGTTAATAGGCTGTAATTAATGTATGAATTACAGCATCGATGATTTTAATCAGAAAGCTACACTATCGTTTAAAACATAAAAATCTTTATAGATAGTTACTATTAATAGTTATATGTTTCATCGGGTATTGATTTAAAATGTTATTTTGTGCAAATATTTTTAAGTATGAAAGCTAACATCGCTGTCTTTCTCTTTCACGCCTTCCTCGTTATGCATTGGAATGGGACAGCAACAGCAGCAATCACCATCCGCAGACTCCACAATGAGCGAAAGATCCCTCGTACCATTTGCACTGGTAAATTTACTGTCATCACTCAATAATATCGATGTAAATAATTTTTTTCTTCATTTTTCTATGTGTGTTTTCGTGTTTTTACTTTCTAGAGTAAGAATATACATGCTTGTACCTACTTACTCCGTGTTTTAAAACTTCTTTTTTAATTCTAAAATGTTGTGTCACATTTTAAATTTCGAATATTTTTTATTTATAATTTCAATTTTTGAATTACGTGTGTACTTGTTTGGTGTTTTTTTTTATGTTAAGAAGGTAAGTTTGAAATAAATTGCTTGAAAAATGGACGTAATAATGGGCGTTATGCATGATACTTAATATTAATAATTTGTTGCTTGTAAGCGTCAATAACAAAATTTTTATTTTGTTGCTTTTTCTTTTATTAGTTAATTGGAAGAAAGTTACAAGTTTTTGTAAGAAAGAAGTAATTTTATTTTATTTATTTATCTTAAATATTTACATAACATTTCGTCATATTACAAGACGTTTTAATATGTATGAACATATGTTCGGAGTTATATAATATAATATTAGACTTTAAAAAACATGAACAACACATATTGACAATGAGATGACACTAGTGGGAATACTAGACTACAGCCATGAAATTATTGTATTGTCGTCAATTCTTAATACGTTTGCGAAATTTCACATTATTCAAACGTTTGTAAGTGGGTGAAAACTGAATTACTAAACTCCATTAGATACATATATACACACATATGTATATACCTACAAAGTTACATGCAGGTCAAGTAATAAAAAGCGTGTAACAAAATTGAAAAATTTTGACTTTTAAATTTAATTTAGGTATATAAGAATAGGTAGTATTTTCTATTTTTCTTTATAACAACAGTGATAATTTTTTTCCAACATGCAGCCCCAACAGCAATCGCCGACTGGAGACGCTCCAATGGGAGACCGAAACACGATGTTGCCCTTCGCATTGGTAAATTTCCTGAATAGCCTCAATATTGATGTAATTATTTTTATCTTTCTTTCACTTATCCTTTTCCTGAACTACGGAAACTCATATTATACGTCACATAGTTTTCAGGTCAGTTTAAAATTTAATACATTTTTTTAATCTATTGAAAATATAGTAAACAGAGTATTAACCTAAAAAGTACTATTTTATTAGTGTAGTGTCATTAGAATGTAAACGATTATTTGCTGGAACCTCAGGCTGGAGCTTTCAAAATTTAAAATATGTCGTAATCGGTACGTCAGGATTTAGTTTTTTGCGATTATATCAACTCTCTTACATTTGAACGTTTTAATAGATTATTTAAGGTTTAGCAGATTGTGGATTCTTTACAAAAAATTATAGATGGAAATTAAATTTTTTAAAGTATTATAAATTATAGAATTTCATTTATGTTCTGTGTATTTTTGTTGTAATATAATTTATATCAATGCAAATAAATAATATACGTAATGACAAAGGTGTTACATTTTTAGGAAACAAAACGATTTCTAACACAGGTGTGTGTTTAAATGAAATGTATTTAAAGAGTATAGAAAATCAGCTCGAATCTAATTAATGTTAGGTTTTCCGCAATATCTCATTTATTATAGACGAACTTAGTATTAATACTTGCGTAAATTTAGAATGAGTTTCCGTAGTTACTTTCGATGAGTTTATTTTAAAAACGAGCTTTATATAAAATGAAATATTATGTCAAATATATCACAGATTAACAGTAATAACTAAATTTATTATTTTTAATACTTATAATGGTCAATGAGAACTCTTCTGTCCTTGCTTCTCTGTAGCAGATGGATACTTTGAGGAAATAATCGTATCCTACAGACCAAATTTCACGACGGCTAACCTGAACCGAGACTAGCCATCTGCACATGACTTTTTTTTTGCACGACTGTTTGTGCTAGCAATTAGAGATGAAGTTTCTATTCCCTCTCTCTCATAAACCAATGGGATGGTAATCAAATACAACCAGAGAGAGAAATCAATGACTTTACGTGAACGTGGGTCAAAGACTGCCAACTTCCTGTCCTCGGACTGTTATAAATAATTTCTTGACAGTAAAACCTAAGAACTGATTTTGGCCCAACCCGGTATTTGAACCCGGAACCACATGATAAGTTACGACCAATAGATGAATAAGGCAGCTGAAGGAAATCATAATAACTGGACGTGTATTCGTGTGTGTTCTCCAAGACACGAGGATAGTTTCCACTAGCACCGTGTGGAGAAAGATGTAAAGGAAAATCAATATTTATTTTTTACGTGGTAGTGCCATGCTGCAGCTATATTATGGTTGTAGCACGAATGGGTCGGCTCGACTGGGGAAGGATCACGCTCTCACAGAATACCAGCGTAAAATAGCAGCGTAACGCTGCTGTGTATGTGAGTACGTGTAGTGAGTGTAGAGAACCGGAGACCCTTTTTACTGGAAACGAGGCATTCCGTCTTAGTCCTCACGGGTGATAACGCATCTCCATTTTGATTCGTGATCGAGGATAGATGTAGAAGTCTATGGGCCACAGTAACCACTTAGCATCAGGTGGACTGTGTGTTCGTTTGTCACAGTTATCCTATAAAAAAAAATCTGCTGCTTATTCCTTATATTGACAATGTATCTGTATTCTACTGTTTGTTTAAAATTGGATATAGTCTACTGTTTGCTTGCAGTAACCACTTACCAGTAGGTGGACTGTGATTTCGTTTGTCACTTTACTTCTCTTTGACCACAAATTATTGTTTCAAATTATTTTCTATAAAGCTCGCTAACATTTAACTTTTTATTTTACAAATAGCATTATATAGTGATATGGGATGTTGACATCTTTATTAACAAATTGCTACATCATATCAATTTATATATATATACAGGGTTATTTTTCAAAAATCAGCCAAATTTGCAGAGAAAATTCAGAATAAGTAATATAGGCAAATGGTGAAGAAAAAATAATTAAAAAAAATTCAAACGTTTTGTCCTTTCTATCTTTTAAATTCAAAATGCGGCGTAATGCATTATTTTAACTGATTTTACTGCACCCGCACACATTTGTAAGGGTCGTTCGGTAGGCAAAAACGATGTTGCCCATAAATCACATTCAATTTGGGATAATTTAAAATCAAAGTAAAAGCCTTATTTACTCGTATTTTCAAAAACTGTATCTCATTATTTATATATTTGAACTTAAGTTTAAAACTTAAGGCTAATCTTTGAAAAATAACACTGTATAGTAAATTTTATAATATGCAACTTTTCGTAGTGTTTCGAAACTTGGTCAGTTTTCCGTTTTAAATTAAATTAGATTTTTCATATTAAAAAATATACTAAGAGTTTTATTTCACTGTAAGAATCTATGACGTACTCCTATTACTATACGATTTCCTTAAGACATTTTTTTTGACATGGCTTATAACGTATTTTAATTGTTAAGTGTGTCAACTTCCCTATTTAGTTGAATTTTTTTTGATGCCATAAAATGCATAAAACGTGCTTTAATTTGGTATTTTTAAATAGAGATTAACGTTCTCATTAATCTTATATGTTTCATATAGTAGACTTTGTACTTAAGAAAATAACTACACAGTGTACTGTTTTAAAAAATATATATATATTTTAAGCTCATTAATCTAACATACAACAAATGATTGTTAAAGCTAATTAACCAAGTGTCTTTAATTTCACCCATCGTTCTTCCTGTTATTATTAAAAAATTATATAGGAAAATTTGAATTTTCCCGCAGTCCAAAACTGAATTACTGAGGTTTAGTTTTATAGTAACCTAAGTTCTCGATATTTATGAGAAGTATCTAAATATTTAATTTTATTGTGAAACAAAAGTAAGCATCAGTAATTCATTGAATTTAACGATTATTCAGCTAAACCTTCAATAGTCGTAATTTATACGCGTCTGTGAATTACTGCAGCATTAGTCTATTGCGCACGATAAGTATAGGATTGGGTTGACTAACAACTTCACTCTCTAGATATTAATTGTCATGACATCGTAATGACAAGTAGCGATTTTAAGACATTTTTTATTTTAGTCACTATATAAAATTATTAACAATCTATATATAAAAATCAATTGGTGTCTCAATTGAAACTAGCTAGACCCATTCTAATGAAATTAGATTCACAATTACACCCGGTAGGTGGAGATGTTGTTGAGATCCAGAAATCACCCTTGGAAAGCCGGGCAGGATCGTTAGTTTAAATAAAATGTATATTTATGGAATGACGCAACGCACTTGAAGTTAATGCGATTACGCATCAAAATGTACAAACTTCTGCTGCATCACCTCTTACCTTTAGTTGGGTAGGAGTCAAGCACTAGCTTAGAATAGTTAAAAAAAATGTCAGTCTCAGCTTTTATTCTTATCGTGCGCGCTTATATCTGCTATTATGATTATCATCATCATCATTACAGCCCTTCACAAGTCCACTGCTGAACATATGCCTCCCTCAAGGAATGCCACAAATCACAGTCCTGAGCCACCTGCATACATCGACTTCCTGAATTTCTTACCAGGTCGTCACTATCATGTATTCCTATTTCAATGTAATCATTGTAATAATTGTAGCTTAGAAAGAACTAGAATGTTTTCATAGATATATTGCATTCATTGTGTGATTATTTTGATTGAATTGATGACAATTTAAATGTTTTGTTGTTTCCAATAGCAACAAGCGCGTTCGGGGCAAAGCATCAGCGAGCGGACGCTGGAGGAGTGCTGGTCGACACTGCAGCGAGTGAGTTGGCACCTGTTTCAATGCGTATTGTTATCTTCCAAAAGTAAGATTTGTGTGGCGGCTGTTATATCGACGTGTTTCGTTTCCAAATTTTATTTATTTATTTGCACTTTTTTAACTTTTTTTTTAGAATAATAAACAGTGAATGAATTATTGATAGGACTTTTAACATGTCTTCTAAAAATATTAAAAACAAAAATTTATAAAAATTTATTTTACTTCCTGTTTCAAACATTTTATAATGTTACAACCGATCGATTTAACACGCCAAAGCATAAATCTACACCAATGGGGTATTGGTTACTAACCGATAACTCTTATATTTAATTTATTTTTAAGAATTTTCAACAAAAATTGCCAGATTCTCGTTTCTTTAAAGCAACTCTTCGATAAATTTAAAGGTAATGAATTCTTCACGCATAAAAAGATGTTATCGATATCGACGGTTCTAGCGGCGGGTGGCAAAGGAAACAAAGTGTAGGGTCTTTTAAACGCAACGCGAAACTTTGAATATCTAGGCCCCATCTATTTGTTGCATATTCATGTTGTTCACTGTAGTGATGGAAAAAATGAAAGTTATTACTCCGTAATTACTTTGATTTTTATAATATTGTTTGAATAAAACATAGAGCGAATTAATTCCATATTAAAACCTTAATCGTTTATTAAAAACTTATTTAAATGAGACACTAACAAAACGGCAAACATTTCACATGATTTTAAGAAGCTATTATGCAAAAAAATACACATCTTACACGAAAATTTTAAGAGTAGTCATTCCTACCTAAGATGAAATATTCTCTGTATTAGGAATTAAAACACCTATTCTTGTCAAGTCACCTTTCGAAAAACAGTAATTTTACATTGCGCGATAATTAATTCGTAGTCTTTTCTGGTCGAGACTATCCAAATAAAATCTATAATTATTCGATTTATCAGAAACAAAAACCACTACAGCCTTTCAAATCTGCTACTTGAGAACTTTCCTTTCGCATCGGTTATCAGATCACTAAATTATATTTACTTAAGTTATTTTTGGCCAGTTTTTTTAAACTTATGATGCTCTATAACTTATTAAACAGACTATATAATTTAACCATATTATGTATCATTATTTTACGCAAATATCGAAAGAAATAATAAGACATCACTAAAAAGTTTCATAGAACCGATCATGGCATAAACAAGCATTCTACCGCCGCGCCGCCGACGTGGGCGTGCTAACATATTATTTAATCTGTGATCGCACCTCCTTGGTTTTATTTTTTGGCGGTAAAATAATCGCATCTGCGTTCAAGGTGCCGTATGCCGTGTCCAGGAAGTACCTGTATTTGGAACATCCGCAGTTAGTGTTATTGTACCTGCGTATGGTTCGTATTGTATTGTAGTAGATAAAGAATTATAAAATTATCGATTTATATAATCAAGTGCACAAGCAAGCGTTGATATATTTTATTTGTTAGTAAAAAGAATATACTCTATCTAATAGTAAGAATAGCAGCGTCTTTTTAATAACGACTACAAATTAAAAAAATCGGTTGCCAACTCGCTTGCCAAGCGTGGTAGCTATGACAAATATTGCCCTTATAAGCAATCTATAGGGGAGACCTATGTTCAGCTGTGGAATTTAAAGGCTGTAACGGTAATAGTAATAGTAATAATATACTTATATGGCTCTACCTCGTGTATATATCCTGTATATAGATAGAGCCATGCTGCAGCTATATTATGGTTGTAGCACGAATGGGTCGGCTCGACCGGGATAGGACCACGCTCTCACAGAATACATGTAAAGAACAGACATGTAAAATACCATAACACGCATTGGTTCAGCGCGGCGGATATTTCCTTGCCCAAAAACCCGGTAATTAATCCGGATATCAACTTATCGATTTGTCGGTTATATTACTGTTGATCATGCAAAAGTCGAAGACAAGTTTAACTTCTATATAAAATAACTAACTGTAAATATTTATAACTGTTGTATAACTATTTTGAAACTGGAAAAAAAAACTAAGATGCTAAAATATGAAATTACCAACTAATTATTTCAATTATATAATGAATTTATGAAATCTATCGCATATTTAAAGTTTTTTTGACAAATTAACATATTGCTGTAATAACCACGGACACAGATAGAAAAGAATAATTTTAAAAAGTTTTTATTGTACATTGTTGTAAATATAGCGAGTTTTGCTTGCTACGTTTACAACATTGTGCACAGGTGCTTAAAAATAAACAGCCCAGTGTACGTTGGACGTGAAACGGAAAAGTGCACTCGGGTAAAATAAAAACTGCAGTCTGTACGGTGTAGCACTTGATCTTTCGGCGGTGAACTGGATAAGGAATTTAAGAGTAGTGTTGTATCCTAAAAAGTTTATCGAATTGTTGACGTTTAATACAATAGATACAAATGCGTTTATAAAAAAAAAATAAACACAAAAGTGATAAAATAAGAACAAGCGTATTACCAATGTTATTTTTCGTTTACGTTTGTTTTTCAACTAATGGACTAAAGGTAGCTCTAGTATTTTTTGTTTTAAATTTGTGCTTATTTTTTTTGAGAATATTGAAATGATTTGTCTGCATAAAAGCATTTAATTCAAAATAATGGTAATAGTAAATGTATTATCGCAGTCACCATTAAATTCTTTCAGTGGTGCGAGTCTCCATATATTTTATGTCTTAACCAAAAGTACTTGATACTGGCTGTCGAAAAAAATCTTTTACATTTGCATGTCGATTCGCAATGAATTTATAGTTATTGCCGCGGGATTTATTGCCGGTACGGCTTTCCGAAAAAAAATCGCGGGAAAATGACCGCCGTTCGAAATTTAAAATTCAAATTGCAATTGTTTTTTCGTTTCGAAATTGAAACAATTTTGACGTTCACCGCCCGACCGGGACATGTGTTCTTAGTTTTTTGTCCTTTATTTTGTTTTCGCAGCGTGCTTGTTGTTGGTAGGGATGGTCCATTTTAATTTACCCTACGTTACCGTTCATTTTCCAGAGAACTGTTACACTGAATAACGCGTGAGTATAATCACATACTGAATGTAACGTAAATAAAACACTCAAAAATTAGTGTGTTAATTAGTAAACTTTTCATTTCGCATATCAAGAGTAGTAAAATTTGGCAGAGAAGATAGATAGATAGACGTTCAATTGGATAATAAATACCGGATTAAGTTTTAGTTAAATAAAAAACAAAAACGTATAATTTGGTAAAAAATGTCAAATTTATAATGAAGGCAGACTAAAGATCACCAAATGTAATTTTAAATTATTACAATCGACAAAATTTATTACTATTATTACATTATTAGTAGAAAGTTAAAATGTTATGTATAAGTATATCTACTAATAGAAAGCGAAACCACCCATAAAATTGACCTATAACAAACGATTAAAAAATAATAACACAAAATGTATGTAGACCCCTGTTCTACATCATATGCTGCCGCCTAAACCCTAATGTCGGACCTTTAAAATTGTTAATTATCATTTTTGTGCCCCTTTCCTACGTGCTCGGAGCGAAAGAATCTTTTCCCATACAAGAGAAAAGTTCTAAGAACTTATAAATATTTCAAAGACATGTATAATGACAAAAACAAGAGGTAACACTTTATGCATTCTCTGTTCCATTTCCCCTTCGATGAGAAGAAATTCATACTAAACAGTGGAAACTTTATAATAAAATCATCACATCAAGATCTTAAAATCCCAACAACGAAAAGTAAAACCTTGTCAGATGGTAATGCCATTGTTCTAAAGATATTAAATATACCATTTAATTATAATGTATATATTTAAAACGACGAAACAAACAACAAAAATTTTAAAATTGTTTTTAAAATGGTACTTTTTAATTTTTGGTACGCAATATCCAAAATGAACATCACTATTAACGCGACGCTATATCGGGACTTATTTTAATATTTTTTTTTTTGGTACGGCGATAGTAAATCAATTGCGTTGTCTTACTTTTTACCCGTCGGCCTCTTTGTTATAAATATTGTTTTTAAAAAGTACTTAATAAACGATGTACGGTGGCCTTAGTGTTCTTGGTTACTTTTAACCGTCGCTTTAAATTTAGGCATACTTTGAAGTCTTTTGTGAAGATTTAAATGGGCCGCTTGGGAATAAAATTTATTTAGAAGGCAGATATGTTAATTTCAATGCTTATTAATCTCTAACATTCTGGGATCCACCAATGGCTATTATTTTGTAATAAAAGTAATAGATATTATTTAATAGTATCTTTACTTATAGTGAAACTAAAGGTTCGCATACAACACTATGAATCGAAATAGTCCCTTTATTTTAAAAAATAAAAAAATGAAGCGCTGGACAAGTTAACGAAATTGTTTTCTTTTTTAAATTGTAACATCTTGTAAAAGTATCAAACGGGTTGGAGGGTGAGACAAGGGGATGCTGTAATTATGAAAAGTGTCCAAGGGAGGAAAAATTGTGCGGGGCGAGAACGTTTAAAAAAAGTGGTTTAATGATCGGACGGCTTTTAAACTTAATAGGTTTTGAAAGATTGTCTCCGTGCCTTGATAGTCTTCTGAAACGAGTTTTCACTGCAGTGATACTATTAAGTTTGTAAAAGTAATATTTTTAAATTTATCTAAAGCATTGTCTACTAACACAGAATTATAATTTTGCTTCTCAGCAGATATTAAACGTGGTAGATATATCACATTATCACTATCCCTACAGCCCGTCACAAGTCCACTGCTGAACATAGGTCTTCCCCATATACTGCCATAGAATACGCTCCTAAGCCACCTGCGTCCATTGACTACTTGCGTGTTTAGTCAGTCAACATCTAGTAAGGCACAGCCCGCCACTTCGAAAACCTCTCTTCCCCATCGGTTGTCGGTTCTTCGAGCTATATACCCATAGCCAATTCAGCTTACTCTCTGTGTCAGATATGGTCTGTGTCAGTTGTTCTTTTTCTTGGTAGATATATTATGAGCAGCCGTATAATGGCG